TCGGGGCGCTCGCACCGCGCTCCACCTCCCGCTTACTTCCAAGGGGCTTCTTCAGCGCTTTCTGCCAACAGATTGCAGCCTCTGGAGGAGAAATCTGTTCGCGCGTTGCAATTAAACAGGAAACGAACGGGGCTTTTTTCCCCCTTCTGTTTCGTTTCAGAAAGATCACAACGCGGATGATAAAGTTGGGTGGTAGAGCCCGCTTTAGCTGCCGCTCCTATCCCAAGTTTTAACGAATCAAAGGGCGTGTTGGTTTCTTTTCACTTGGAAAACGCACGTGTAACTTTCAGAGCCGGCTAAAACCAAGTCGCGAGTTAATCTTGGGCTACAGCGTAATTGGCTTTTGAAGAAAAGCAAGATCCCGGGTTTTTAACAAGCCTGGGGAAGCAGCGTTGCAGAGCATCAGTTGATTTGTTATTTCCGAGGTGGATATTCTTACTTCGACTCATCATTTTAAGGGCTTGGGTTTAGATTCTGCTGGGCTCAATGACTTCAGGTTTTCTGTTATTTTAAGTTCGATGCAGTAGCCTAGTTAAAAGTGCATTCTCCTTTGCTAAAGGCTTTTTAAGTGTTTGTGTTTAAATAATCACTCTCATCGAACCTGAACGGAGGCTGTCGCTGCTTGAGAGACGTAACTGACGTTTTGAAAGAGTGGGTCTGGTGGCAGTTTGGCCCTTGAAAACGCAGCCTCGTTTTCTTGATCAAGTCGAGCCGCTGTATGTCTTTGCTGGGAGAAGGCGGCTTTTTGGGTATGTCAGTACAGCCTCTGATCAGAAAATGAGCAGGTTTCTGCCGTTACAAGTGAGGTGCTTCAAGAAGTCTCTTTTCTGTGTTCCTATTTCTTGTGCACTTAAAGTTAATGTGCAAATAATCCTTTTAGTTCTGCATGGGGGGATTATGAGGATCAGTGAATGTGCTTGAGCTTGTTATGTTTGGGATGAAGTTAACGCAGAAGTGTTAGACTGCGTTATCCCTGGATGCGATGGCTGCCGAGTGGCTCTGCTTCCATGGGTCTTGGGAAAATCTCTGTTCCACTGGAGCCAATGGGAAATTTGTCCCGGAGGACAAAGGGGCAACGCTTCTGTCCTCAGCTTCCTGTGCTCAGAGTGAGGAGACTCAGTTCGGTCACTGCCCGGGAGACGGCAAGAGCAGGTGTTTGAGACCTGGCTCTGGGAAGCCAAAATCCACAATCTTTACTTGGTTGCGTCTCCTTGTGACTTTGTTTTTGCAAAGATCGCAAGAACTGACCTCATGCTGTCATTTCCATTTGCTGTGCTGGGATAGACATTGAATTACTGGAAGATACTCTGCTGCTTTTAGAAGGTCCTATGCTACAATGTGAGAGAAATGATATCCTCAGTTAGGCACTGCTGACTAGGATTTCTTCCCAAAATGACATGTGCACTTAAAATGCCCCTCTCATTTCAAATGTTACCTGGCGCTTGAGAGCACCAAAGCTTTAGAGACCCTGCAAAGAGCTTATCGGGCCCCCGAGGCTGTGAATGCTGCTGAAGGCCGTTCAGTGGCTTTCCCGCTGTAATGGTCCACTGCCGGTTGAAGGTGCAAAACGTGTCGGGGTGGAAGAGGTTGGCTGCTGCACGTAGCAAAGGCACTGGCTCTGCTGCCAGAGTTTGGGGATAAGGCTGCGGGGGTCTGCCCCTAGGGCAGGGGCCAAGGTTGGTGTGTGGTTTGTTTTGGCTTGCTTGTGCCATTTAAGACGGTGCAAAGATGAGGAAACAATCCGTGTTTGCTCCTTGTGCTGTGACACAAAGACTGAGAGCATGTGGGATTTAAAAAGTGTCCCCTTTGGGCTGAAAACTGCAGCTGGCAGTAAAAAGGCAAGTGCTGGTTTTCACTCTGGCGGCAAACAGGTAAGATTATAATAATCCAAGGTGTACCTCCCATTCCGTTGGCTACAGCTGTATCAACAATAGAAGGGTCTTAATGTTATCATTTGTTTGAAAAACATCATTTTAAGGAGGTTAAAATACAGGCAGGCTGTTTTGTTTCTTCTATGATCTGGTCTACACCAGGGATAAAGCATTAATACAGCTAGATATTAAAATGCCAGAGCGCTTTTTTAGCAAGCCATTTGAATATTTTTGCTCGCTTTGGCTATTGGTGTAGGACGCAGGATGGCTAAGGATTGGTTTCAAAAGCACACGAATTTGACTTCTGCTTTGTAAATGAACATTGTGCGTCAGCTGCAGCACGCACAGGACAAGCGTCTTCTGTCCATGCACCCTGGTCTGTGGATCTCTTTGAAGCTTGGGAAGACAAACGTGTTCTGTAAGTGATTTCCCACGTTGTGCTTTTCTGAACGTTAGGCAGAAACATGGTCTTACGTGTACCGAATCGGGGGTGGAAAGAGAGATCCTAGACCTTCTCCTTCCAGCATACTTATGTGGCATAGTGAAGGATCTGGCTTAAAATACTTTACTTGCGAAAGAGCCCTGAGGTTAGATATTCCAGGAGCACGAAGGCTGTCAGAAGCTGCTCTAGACCAGTATCATAAAGAAACCAGGTACTGAGGGGTGGATGTTGGAGGCTTGAAAGCGATACAAGGGCCGGGGTATTTCTCAACAGAAAAGGGAAACGTTGTGCGCTGTGTTGTCGTTCTTATCTCCTCAGAAGGACTGTACTGCCCAGCAGGGACAGGAACCTGCTGTGCCCCACAAAGTGTAACTAAGTACACAGAGACCACCTCAACGTGAAGGAGATGAGCGTCTGGGGACCGAGCGGGTCGCACTAGGCTGCCGCGTGGTTCAGGCGGTGCCATTCTCCAGCAAGGGCTCCTGCGGCTGCGGGTCGGAGGTGCCCTGCTCGGCGCCGAGCAGTTGGCCGGCTGGCGGGGCGCTGGGCTGAGCCCTGTGCCCAGCAGCTTGTGCTGGTGTGATTTACCCAGCGAGCTGTAGCCCTGGAGGTGTCCCCAGTGGAGGGGCTGTGCGCTCGGGAGGCGTCCTGGGGAGCGCAGTGGTTTCTGAAACAGGGACGTAGCCGTGCAGGAGCACATGCAGAGTTATCTGCTCTGAAGCAGCCCTGCAGGGGCTCTAATTCTTCGCCTCAAGACCTCCCGGTAGCCCGGGGAAGGCAGAGTTGCTGCAGAGTTTCCAGGCCACACCTCTCGCCGCAGCCAGCAGGCGCCTTGTTTGCTGAATCCCGGGGCTTTGAGCGGTTGGTTCAGTGCTTTATCACCCAAACGAGGCGACGGCACAGGATTTCTGAATACGATTAAAATCAAATTCAAGTATTACAGAGTAATGGGGATTTTGTTGTCTTGCCCAGAGCTTAGTTATTTGCACAGTCACAAGGGTTTGTGTAATTTAAGTATCTATATTATGTCAATGTAAAATGAAAATCAATACTAGGGAGAATTTTGTTTGTGCATTTACTGATGCCATTATTCACAGCATAAACTGGTCTGTTTGCTGCTTTGTACCTCACTTTTCCTGGTATGGTAAAATGAAACCATAAGGCAAATTAAGAGCCGTAACTGTGGAGTTCCTTGATCTTATTTATTTTAAAAATACCGATTTAGTAAATACCTGAACTTTTTGGCATTTAGTCCTGTGGCTATGACAGAAGGCAGCGTTCTTGGCTCTAATAAAAGACACTTGATGAAAAGCTTGCATTCGTGCTAAATTTGCATGAAAGTTCAGGAGCTCTGTTTTAATTTTAGGATACATTTTGTAAGTGCTAATTGTTTAACAGCTTGTCTCCAGTCAGGAGCTACACCCCGAAGAGCTCAGGCCACTGCTGCATGGCTGGTGTCATTGATAGTGGGGTTTTCTGGCTGCTCTCTGGTAAGAGCTACTTCAGAGTAATGAGAACTTCATGCACGATGGGACTCTTAGACCCATTACTGAGCAATGGGAGCTGAATGCTTTCGTTTAGGAAACAATGGAACCAAACATTAAAAAACCCCTTCTTTGGACAGTTCTATTGTTGCTTTTTTTCTTCTCTGAGTTTGCCTTTATTTTGTTGGAGGCATCAGCCCATCTCTTTGTGCAGTTTTTTGGACAGCCTCACCTGATACTAGGCGGCTCTGCTGCAGAGTTAACAGAGCTTTATATTTTGATGTTGCAGAGACCACAAAAATGTTCCATGTGCAGCAGTGGTAAAGCAAGATAATTATGGGGTAAATGTCACTGGTGGTTAACACCTCACGGCCACTGCGTGTGTATTTCTGTTATGTAACTGCCAGGAATTAATTTTACGAGTCTTGGAGCTATTGTCGTCTTTGCACATAAAAATGAAAAGATTTTCTGGTATGAAAAAAAAAAAAAGAGGAAAGAGAGGAGGAAGGAAGCAGGTAGCTGTGCTGCTGTTGAGAAAGTCAGCCCTCCTATCAATGGCATCTCAAGGCATTGGGTAAAGACAGCTGGAGAGGTCAGGTCTGTGCCTCCGGCTGAACTCGCCAGCCTCGATTTGGGCACTGAGGTGGGAGCTGTAAATACCTCAGGGCAGCCTGCCGAGGGCTCAGCGCTTCTGGAAGCCAGCCCAAGGATGCGGTCTCCTAAAACTCTTAAAATTCCCCATGTTTGATCCCTCTCAGAAGTTCTAAATGGGAATTAGACTTGCATTCACGTGGACACCGACCGGATCTTGTGAAGATAACAGGGGTTTCCCTTTGTGTTGGAAAAGGGATGTAAAAATATCTTGTGCTTTGTGCTTTATAGAAGTTCACTTCACAGAGAGTCACTGCCTCTGTGCTGTGCTCACAGGGTGCAAAAGGAGATGTTAAATCGAAAGTGTAAGTTATTCTGTTCTATAGTCTATGGGAGTTAGAAAATAACATTTAATCCCTTTTCTGGGCACGTGCCAATTATTTGTAAATAAACAATTATTTCTATTTATTTCTTTGAAAATTTTGCTTTTTCAATTTTGCCTTCGGTCAAGAAAACGGGAGTTTATAAGACTGTAATAACAGTGTCGTGAATGGTTCTATGTATCAAGCTACTCAGGCTGCTTTTCTGTCTCTTGCAGATTCACAGGCAGGCATGGACCTAAGTAATTCTCAGGAACAGCCCATGGCTGCAGGTACGGTGCTGTTCAAGTGATGTTCTTTCACCCTCTCTTGCAAATTTTAAATTTAAATGGAGAAAAATATACAAATTGCAGCTCGTTTAGATTCCCAGGACACTGAATAGCACAGTCACAAATACAAAGATGGGCATTAAAGGCAAAAAGTAAATTCTAGAATTGAATTAAAACTGTGGAAGTTCAATATAATATTGGAAAATGATACTAAAGGGAAAAAAAGACTGTTTAGTAGGAAAGGAAATGTTTTCAAAAGAAAGCTGGAAGTTTTGATTAGGGAAGCAAGAATAATGTGATTCTTTTGGTTGACTGCATTTCTGAAAATAGGAAAACAAACCTCTTGTGTGAGTTGAACAAGGGTTTTACTTTCTTTTAATCAAAAAATAAAACCTTTTTTTCAGATCCAATGTAATATTCAGCCTGAGAATCATTGGGTTTTTTACTATCCAACTGTTAATAAGTTAAACAGTTTTGACAGCAGTTTCACAGCATTGCTGTGAACTTTAAAAACTCACAGGATTGTTGAAAGAAAACTGTCCTTTCTTTAACAAAATACTGATCAGAAATTTACAGAAAGACGCCTGATACTGAGTTAGTCTGTATTATGGATTTTATGAAAGAGGCTTTATTTGAAAAACTTCACCAAAATAAATTTGGCTTTATTTCAGAGAAGAGAGGCTTGGATTTCTGGGACACGCTGTGCCGCAGTTCTCAGCAGAAAAGTTTCTGATAATGTTGATGTTTAAAATGACACATGTGAAATAAGCAGGGAGGTGCAGCTGGGTTCAAAGAGGCTTCCGATGAAACGTGCTCAAGCAGTTTCCTGGCCTGGGGCCAGAATGATTGATATTTTGCCCAAATGAACCAAGCAGAACTGTGATCTGATCCCTTACCTGCTAGCTGCAGAACACATAGGATAGGGTTACATGTACGGAAGTTTATTCCTGTTTTGGTGTCATTTAGAACAACCTCCAGTATAGTTAAACCTGAGCAAAAGCTTAAGACCGAGTTAAAGGCGTGTGCTCTGGGTGACGGCTTGTCTGTGACTTCAGGAAGCAAATTGCTTCAACCCAACTGCAACTAATGTGTCTGTAGGAAGAACGTTGGGGGCATTACTGGGAGTTTGCAGATGCTTTGAGGTAATCACATGGAAATATTCTTGGAGCATAAATAGTTAATTATTGGATTGGGTTTTTTTCAGAAGGACAGGAGGTTTTGGCAGACTGTAATCTGAACAAATCCCAGGAAATGGAAAGTATGGATAATGCAGAAGATATGAAGGAACACAATCAGTCTAATGAAGAAGCAGGAGGTAAAGTGGCGATTGAATTCTAAAAAATAATAGTTATATTGTTTTTTTATTCATCAGGTTATGCTATGAGAGTGATTAGAAAGTTTTTTATGGATCATGGCTCTGCATGTCTGTGGAAGGAATAGTGCTACCGTTACGGTTTAGAGCATTTTAACGTGCAACTGTTTTCTGTCAGGAAATCTCACGTGCATTTTATAAAGGTCACTTTTACAGGGTCTAAGAAATATGGATAGCAAGATAAAAAAGCATGGGCGTATGGTGAGCTCTCTTAATGTGCGTGTCACCTACAAAGTCTTAGAAGTGGTTTGCATGCAACAAATGCGTGTGTTACGGCTGCCCTTTTTGTCAATGTTGTTGAGCTACTCTGCTATCTGAAAAATAACTTGGCAATTTTTTTTCTTTTGAAAGAAAGGACAAGTTGCCTCAGATTCATAGGACAACTCAGCCCTGTAGAGTTTAAACCCGTAGCGGTAATCCTCTACTTTAAACTGGGAGTGTATAGAAGGCTGATCATTTTGCCGTTTATTGTTCAATTTGAACAGTAAACCCTTCCCACACAACTCTGAAAGAAGACACAGATATGAATAAGATATTAAACCAATATGCACTATTTGTAACTTAAGAGGGGTCCTCCATAAATGCGTATTTCTGTGTATCTTTAAAAACTAGTAGGCCCTCTTCGCTTCACGGATAAAAGCAGCAGCTCCTGGACTCAGCAACTGTAGAGGCCCCCAGCGTTCGGGATTTGTGTGTGTGTATGTGAGACAGATGTAGCACAAGAGACTTTGAATGTCTTCCTTGATCTAGAAGCACATAAACTGAAATCACAGCATTAATAACCATTCCTGCCAGTGCGCCGAGCGTGTTCATTTATGCCAGTCTTCAACCACAAACAGTGAAAAACGCTGCCTGGCAGAGGATGTGGTGTGCGTACGCTGGGGAAAAGACACACGTTGTTTTACCAGTTTCATGTCGCCTCTCAAGTACTGCATGTCCACGGCAGTGCCTTTAGTTGGCAGGTTTGAGGTGGTGTTTGTGTGTCACATGGTTCAAGTAAATCACTAAAGAATTGTCTCTTTTTGGTTGCCCAGGTAGCCTTGGTTGTTCCCTGTGATCACATCAACGTGATGACTTTATTTTGGACTAAAACGAAATGTTCACCTGTTGAAATTTTGCATTATTAAAGATTAAATTTTTCTATTTAATAACAACATGAAACACTCAAAGGAGTGCTGCGCTAGCAGGAGAGTCTATGAGGAGGGTGAAATTAATCTCACTTAGGTATCTACAGCACCAGTGTCTGGAACCGTACTGGTGTCTGGCCTTTCTTGACAGTCGATGGAGAGAGAGCACGCAGGTTTTCTGACCAAATTTGGGTGTCTGGCTTTGGATGAAATGCCTCGTGTCCCCAGAGTCGCTGCTGCTCAGCAGGACTCCGTTTACATTCAGTGGAGAGCAGCTCAGTGTAGATGTCAGCGGTGCAGAAGATGCCTTAGGCAGGTGAGTTCTGCTCTGCTTACCCTAAAAGGAGAAGTTTAATGGGTTTATCCACACCATGGACGCTTGGGCCGTTCCTGCATCCAAGGCATCTGATTGCTCTTTCAGATCGCCCAGCACAGAAAATGTCCCCAGGCGCACCCCAGCTGTTTGCCCAGCCCTTGCCCCATTTCCACTGGCGCCGGCTCGCCTCTGCCTCTGCTCTCCCAGTGTCCCTGCCCCTGGCTCCTCCCGCCCACTGCGTGCTGGGCACAGGAAGCCAGGGCAGGGGTTCTTCCACAGACCCCTCCGTTTGACCATCCAAGGGGAGTTGCTCCAGCTCCTCCCCACCTTCCCAAGCCAGGAGCCCAGTCTATACCACTCGCACGCACGGTGTCGTGGCATCAAGCAAGACTTTTTTCTGTTCCTTGCCTACCCTGTGCCCGTCAGCTTCCGTACTGTTTCTCAGGCTCTTTTCCACAGGTATAAGTCAGGTGCAACTTCAGCGCTTGGGAGTGTTTATCTTGATCCTGCTCTTGTATACCATTCATTTTTTATATTGCTGCTGATCTCTTAAAGTCTTTTTACAATTTGTTCTGGAATGCAAACACTGAACATCTGAATCTCAAAGATAAATATCAATAAAACATCGTCTCCCTCTGATGGACTGCCTTACCATTAGATCTTTCATTCGTTATAAAGTGAGTACAAACCTCCTCAGTACCAGTGCTCTGATCTTTGATTCTCTCTGTAGGAATGAAGACATGATTGCTAGGAGAAAGCTGTTTTAAATGCACAAAAAAGATAGCTACAGAATCTTAGTGTTAAACGGCACAAAATAAAATACCTACTGTGTTCTCTTCATTGCTTCACATACAGTTCTCTACAGTCATTCTGATACCGGAAGCACAATAAATCTTAAATATTTAAGGACGCCGCGGTAGAACTCCAGGTTGTGCGAATATCAGTAGGTGCACTTGAATTTCTTCCTAACAGCACCAGTTCAGCTGCTGTTGGATACTAAAATTCAGAAATAATCTTAGCTTTCACATCCTGCCTACTGCATAAGAGTGGCAGCCACGTTAGTCACTGAGCAGTCCTTGCAGGTCAGTAACTGTCTGTCTGTCTTCTAGATAAGTGAAACCACATTCTGACAGTGCTGCCCCGAGGGGAGTATAATCGTTTGGCGATCGCTAACCCTGGTAAAAATGAATATGTAATATTCTCCAGAATCACAGAATAGAAATATTGTCAGTATTGGTGATGGCTCTTGGGAAATGGATTATGTCCTGCCCACACCTGAAAAGTCTGTCTGTTTAACGAAAAAAAAACCCAACTAAACAAACCCACCTCTATTTGGCACTTTTCCAGGTGTGATCGCTAACACCCTCATTATGTATCAAATTTAAAAGAAATAATGAAAAACCTTTCTGTGGTTCTTATAAATGTTAATCACGGTACTTGTGAGGCAGCCCTTCTGTGAGTGAGCAGGTCGACTGCAGTATCTGCACAAGTCATCGCTGATGGTAGCCTGCAACACAGAAAACTCCTTTTTTTAGTCCTGAACCCCTGCGTGATCCACACCTGCAGGGTCTGGTCCATCTGCTGAAGGCCGTCACAAGAACTTGAGGCCACTGGCTCGTCCAGTGCAATCAAGCATTCCACAGGCTGCTTCCCACTGCCTTGGTGAGTCTGTGCCGTGGTGTTCTGTGGTACAATTATGTTAAGTTTTTTTGTCTTTCATCAGCCGTTCGTAGGAAGTAGCAATCTCCCAGTTTCTTGGACTGTACGTTTTTTGTGACTCTTGCATTAGTAACGGGTGACACTAAACACACCGTGGGGGCACACGCTGAGCCTCTGAACAGAAGTTGGAGCTTGGTCAGAGCTGGATGTTGTCTGACTCTAGTTTGGTGGAGCCTTTTATGGTAGGTCTGCAGAAAACTGTGCTGCGATCCTTTCAAAGGGCTGCAGACATCTCATAAAGGCACTAAATAAACGAAGGTATCGGGCTGAAACGTCATCCTAACTGCTGCTCATCTGGCGTAAGAAACCTCACTTTTTCAGCACACAGTTCCGTGTCTGTACTTCTCCGAGCACACGCAAACGCGCTGCCTGGCGTGTCCTTCGTTCTGTCTGTGCCAGAGCTGACAGAGGTGAGACGCCGCTCAATGAGAACAGCCCAACCCGTCCTGTCGTACCCCCCTTTTAGACGGGCTTCGACTGTGAGGATCGCTGAGTATAGGGCAAACAGTTAGGCGGAAGGCTACAGTAATATGTTCGTTAAAGTCTTGATGGAGAAGAAGGAAATAAAAAGAAAGAAACCCCCTTTTTCTTGCCTCGAGGGCATGGAAGCTGCACGCTGCGGTGCACATGGGGTGTGCTTGCCTGCAGCCATGAACACGCGCTGTTCCCACGGCGCTTCCTGTAGCTAGTCTGACAAGAGACAGGCAGAGCGCCAGGCAGGGGAGGCAGCGCTCCATCGCCCGGCGTTCTGTGGGCGCCTCCAACGCGGTTAGCTTTGGTGGCCAACACCGAAGTGTCCTTAATTTGAAAATTAAATTTAAAAAGCCACGTTCTTTGCTCTGGGAGTCGCAGTCACGCACAAGTGGTTGTGTCTTCATTCCCTCCGCTGTTGAGGCAGACAACTTTTTGGGTGTTACGAATGTTAGCTAGCTTTCGTGGTGGTGAAATAAAAAGAAATGGAAGCCGCATTTGTGGTTTATGGATGCTAATTGCTGCTGCACCTAGGTGTGTGAAAGGGGGCGGTTAAAAGGCTGGAGTGAGGCAGGAGAGGATGACAAAGCCTCGCTCAGGCGTGTACTGAGGTTCCAGTGGTGCTGCTAGCACACACACTTATCTGCTTGAAAAGGAAGTGCCGTTTTTTATCAGAATATTACATCTCCCAAGCCCAGATCGAGCCCTGCTGCTCATGGGACTCAGGGGTTATCTCACAACATCAGCAGTGCTGTGCTGCAGAAGTTCACTTAACCGGGGATTTCTGTATGTGTTAAAACCAGGCAAGGAGTCGGTGCTGCTTAACTGTGTCAGGCCTCTGCTCTGGTGGCTGTGCGTGAGCTGAAAGTCGCATCGGAGTGTTATCAACAAAAGATCCTCTTGGCTTTGT